TTTCACAGCCGTTATTTGTGCTCAGTCGTTGTCTGTGTCGCAACCGCAGCCGTGGTCGCAGCCATTGTTTCGCAGCCGTGGTCGCAGCCATTTTGTAGCAGCCGTGGTCGCAGCCATTTTCGCAGCCGTGGTTGCAGCCATTTTTCGCAGCCGTGGTCGCAGTCATTTTCGCAGCCGTGGTCGCAGCTATTTTCGCAGCCGTGGTAGCAGCCTTTTTTGTAGCCGTGGTTGCAGCCATTTTCGCAGCCGTGGTCGCAGCCATTTTTCGCGGCCGTAGTCACAGCCATTTTCGCAGCCGTGGTCGCAGCCATTTTCGCAGCCGTGGTTGCAGCTATTTTCGCAGCCGTGGTCGCAGCCGTGGTCGCAGCTATTTTTGCAGCCGTGGTCGCAGCCATTTTCGCAGCCGTTGTCGCAGCCATTATCGATACGCAACTGCTGCCTGCGTCGCAGTCATTTTCACAGCCGTTATTTGTGCTCAGTCGTTGTCTGTGTCACAACCGCTGCCTGTGCCGCAGTAGTATTCGCAGCCTTTGTCGGCGTCTCGGTCATTGTCGCAATCGTTGCCTGCATCGCAGTCGCTGTTGCAGCAGTTGTCTGCGTCACAATCCTTGCCTGTGTCTCGGTCGGTGTCACATCTGTTGCCGGTGTCGCTTTCATTGTCTGCACCACAGTCGATGTCAAAGCTGTTGTCTATGTCGTTGTCTAAGCCTCTACTGTTTTCTATGCTCCCGACATTGCCTGCACCACCTTCCATGGCAGCAGAGTATGAGAAGCCGGCCGTTGATAAGCAGTTTCATGCAGCATGGGCACCAAGCAAGACGCCTGCACTCGGTTAGGAATCCTGACCGGTGATAATGTATTAGACGGATTTCCAAAATGTCATTTTCAATACCTACTAAGGGCAGAAGGAGAGTAGTATTTCTAAAAGTATGTCAAAATGTTCGAAATTATTTATTTTTAGCATCCCCCCACCTCACAACAGAGCAACCGAGTTTTGTATTAAGCTGGGAGTGCCGATTCGAGCAACTAGTAGGATGGCTCTGCTTGGAGCCGCTAGATGGCTCGCAGCTGAGCCAGCAAATGACTCCGCATGGAGCAGGAGAATGACTCCGCATGGAGCCGGCAAATGTCTCCGCATGGAGCCGGGGAATGACTCCGCATGGAGCCGGCGAATGACTCCGCATGGAGCCGGCGAATGACTCCGCATGGAGCCGCCAATTACTCCGCATGGAGCCGCCGAATGACTCCGCATGGAGCCGCCAAATGACTCCGCATGTAGCCGCCAATGACTCCGCATGGAGCCGCCAATGACTCCGCATTAGGCCCAGACAGATCCTGCCGGCAATTCTTTCCGCAAAATATCGAAGAATTGAAAGAGCGGAAATTGCCGGCAAAATCGGAGCAAAATATCGGGATGTTGGGTAAAATCGATGCCTGATGCTTGGATTTCCTTGTTCCTTGTCACCCGTTCAGCAGGATACACTGCCCAGGGCGAGATCATGTCACCGAAATATCTCTGAGATTCACTGTGGATCGACTTGATTTTGGAAGAATTCAGGGACACATGTGTTGAGACCCGTGTTGAGAAACCGACCTTGCGATTTTTATGGAACGTTGTACGGGATTGTACGGGAAGTGGATACAATACACGTTTTCCCGGAGCAAAATGAAGCAAAATATCGATTTTCTTGTGCCAGGCTCGGCAAAATATCGACGATTTCGCAGCAACATTTTGCCGCAAAATATCGAGGCGACCGGAGCAGAATCTGTCTGGGCCTACTCCGCATGGAGCCGTCAATGCCTCTGCATGGAGCCGCCAATGACTCTGAGTAGAGCCGCCAAATGCTAAATATATAGAGATGCATAACCAGTTGAGAGCATATTATATTCTCATGGACTATACAGATACCGTCATGTGTGCGCCAAAAACATGAGTTGAGCAAGGGGGTGGGAGGGTGGGAAGGAAACCGTTCGGGAACACAAGTTTCCTCAAGTTGCACGCTCGAAAGTCCAAACAGCAATGACATGCAAGAGACACTGTAGGGCGCGTGCCCACGTGACATGCGCATGCGTGCAGGTTGGGCCAGCTCGCTGGGCTGGCTGCTAACTAGCGTTAGCATGATAACGCTCATTGCTCAGAAAATGTACGTGTTTAGCACCCCCCCCCCCCCCCCCCCCCAAAACACAGGCTTAGGGCGCGTTCAGACTGGTGTAAAAAGCAAGCGGAATGTGAAAGTTGTCACGGTGAATCGGTTCCCGCCAGCGCAAACACGGAAAAGGTTTCCCACCACCAAGGTTTCCCACCACCAAGGTTTCCCACCACCAAGGTTTCCCACCACCAAGGTTTCCCACCACCAAGGTTTCCCACCACCAAGGTTTCCCACCACCAAGGTTTCCCACCACCAAGGTTTCACACCACTGTCCGGTGGGATGCAGATTCCAGCGGAACACGGCGGGAGCACTTTTGATTATTTTGAGTTTTGACTTCTAGACTGCCAACTTCTTCTATAATGCCGAATGTTCGGCTCAGCAATGGAGAGGGAGCGCATGGAGCTGTACGTGGTGATTTTTGAGGGCCCTGCAGGGAAACCGTTGACTGCAAACGAGAGGCATACTCTGATCGCTGAGCGGATGAATGCCACCCAAGCAGCACACACTCTAGACATCGTGTTCTTTCTGTCGACAAGCACAAGCAAAAGCACGAGAGCTTTCCTGCGGAGGTATGACTTTGGCCGTATTTCAGCATGGTTGAGTGGAAAATTTCAAAAAGGTTTATTTCAAGAAAACCCCAAAAGGAAGACGGGGGGGGGGGGGCATGCCCTCAGCGCTCGAAGAGACGTTCTACTATCTGCCGGTGTATAGTTCTTGCCAATTAAGGATGTAGCCGGCTGTTTTGCCAGCGCTTGTAAATTGGCTATTTTCAGGCAATTATTTGTTGCGCCAGGGGGTGATTGCCCTCGTCTTCTGAGATCCTGGCTTGGCTAAGCGACACTGCTCCAGACACTCTTCTAAGGTGAGGCAATATTGGCTTGATGTAGGAAGTCCAGTTCCGTTCGCTGAAAAGCGAAAAATGCAGTCACAGCTCGCCTGTACAAAGTGAATGGGCACCTCGTGGCTGCAGTTCGAGATGCAGTTCGAGGCCCAAGTATCTTCTCCCGCGGCCTTTTCAGCCTTGTCGATGCTATTTTTAGGGAGCTAAACATTACCTGAGTCGAATGGTCTTGGTCCGAGGACGCTGAGACGCTCCCTTCCTCCTTTATTCCCAATCGAACTCGCGCACTTCCACAGAAACAGGGTGACTGCGCCCTACTATAAAGGCATTTGTATGGATAAAGTCACTAAAAACGCCGTTTCCTTCTCATAAAAGCACGGATGACCGCGATTGGTCCATAGGTTACAGTCTTTTGGCCGCTGAGTCGACTGGTTTTGGTCCGAAAAGGCTGTGATGCAACGTTCGGCCCTTATTCCCAATCGAACACAGTTGAGTAAATGGTCACGTGCTCATGCATACACCAGTTGCCTGGTCACCGTGCCTGCACTGGCTGCAGGCTACAATTTTCACATTAAGGTTCAACTCAAAGGTTCAAAGCAGGTAGCCGTAAGAGGCTTTTACGCCTCCCTGGTTCAAAGGTTCAACTCGAGTGACATAAACAGGCCCAAATGTAAATGAGCACGTGACCGCTTACTCAACCGTGTTCGATTGGGAATAAGGGCCGAACGCTGTATCGCAGCCTTTTCGAACCAAAACCAGTCGACTCAGCCGCCAAAAGACGACAACATACGGACCGATCGCGGTCATCCCCCCTTTTATAAGAACGAAACGGCGTTTTTAGTGACTTTTTCCATACTAATCCCTATCTAATAGGGCGCAGTCACCCAGTTTCGGTGGAAGTGTGCGAGTTTGATTGGGAATAAAGGAGGAAGGGAGCGTCTCAGCTTCCTTGGACAAAGACCATTCGACTCAGCACTCCGAAGACTACAACTGGTGAAAAATTTAGGGTAACTTCCCCTTTAAGTTTTTTTGGACCTTGGCGGATGCAAAGGATCCACTCGATCGATCAGGATCCGGATCCAACCAAACGAACATGCCCTAAGCGAGTTCAACGTTACGTCCAACCTCATACCTGCGCTGGGAAGCTGGCCTCTCCGCGACATCTAGCCAGGAATTTCTAATCCAACACTACTCCCATCGCTGCAGAGCAAACTATACTGAGGAAAGGTTTCAAATTCAAAAAAATGCAGGCAAAACCTCAGTCAGTTCGGCATCAACTGGCGCACCAGAAAATGTTGGGGTTGGAAGGAAAATCTTGCCATTTGGAGTGACAAGTGATCACCGCTACTTTTTCCTGTACACTTTGTTCTGCAGCGTAAGGAGCAGTGTGGGAGTAGAAATTGCTGACTAGACCAGCTTTCCAGAGCAGGTGTGAGTTTGTACGTATGTCAGCATGGTAGAGTGGAACAATACAAAAAAATAGACTTCAAGAAAAGCCAAACAGGATGATCGGGGACTTTTCCTCAGTACTAGAAAAGGTGTTCTTCTATCTGCCAATATATAGTTCATGATAGTTGAAGACGTAGCTTGAGGTTTTATCATCGCTTGTATATCGGCTGTTTTCGACATTATTACTTGTTACGTCAGTGGTGCTGGCTCTAGTCTCCTTTGATGCTGGCGTGGCCAAGCGATGCTACCTCCCGGACCTCTTCTAAGGTGAGGAGGCAATGTTAGCTTGATTTCGTTTTGTTGATAGTTTATTTTGTGTACGCGCCTGTGGTGTGGTTTGGTTCTACACACATACACATACATTATGGGATTTTAGGTACGCCATTTTTCAGACGTACGCCATTTTCAAGGGATTTTCACAGTCGCTTAACACCTGAAAAGGAAACTTAACGGCAACATAAGAGCGAAGGAGGAGAGATCAACTTGCACACTTGTTCTGGTTTTCTCAGACATGCAGTTTCGTAATAGTTGCACCTTCTGTGTTTAAAGTACTGCTTACCCAAGCAAAGTCCTGAACAGGCCATACCACTCCTTTGCCCTGTCAGCAAAACATCGCACAAATACAAAACAACGTACTTTGATATAACGTTATGTAGAACCAAAGCTTGCACACATACATACGTACACCTGACCACACACTACACACACTCATGCATGCAGACACAAATATCCCAGGCCCGTCGCATCGACTTTAGAGGTGGGGGCGGCCATGGAAGGGGGGGGGGGGGAGATGCGGCCTCCCCGGCAAAAAAATTTCAACAATTGAAGCCTATTGCAAGAATTTCCGGGCATTTGGTGCCATTTCAGTGGAACTATAATGAACGACCTTTTGATTCGGCAACAAACCAAGAAGATGCTACGATCGGGGACAATAATTTCTTTTTTATCCTCCCCGGGAAAATATTTCAAAAATTGAAGCCAATTGCAAGCATTTTCAGGCATTTGGTGCCATTTCAGTGTAACTGCAATGAATGACTTTTTGATTCTGCAACAAACCACGATAGGGGACAGGGATTCTTCATTATTTGCCACGGTTGCACTGAGCTGCGGATATTGCGCTTTGTTGCACATAGCCAGCAATCGCATGTCATCACGAACATTCAAAATCAACATAATTTTGCGAATCGACCTTTTTTCAGCATCACTTTTCAAAGAGGACGAAGCAAAGTCGGCCGAAAGAAGCCCAGAGGAAGAAAATCACCCTCTCCACTTCGCCATCACGATACTGACATAGATACGAGACGAAACAATTAAAAAATCCAGAAGAAAACTGATCGGCCATCATCGCGCTGACTTTGGTCTGAGAATTTTTATCACGATCAAAAATGTACAAGGAGCACTCAAAATAAGCTACAGATGTACCTTTATCACTCTCTACTCCTTTTTCAAGACACAAAAGTCGACTCTCCACTTTCAAACCAGGAACCAGACATACCAGTGGTCCTTTTCAGCTGCTCCACGAGCGCAGGAAATGCTCACCAAGGGGCTCAGAGCAGCATCCATTCCAGAAAAAGAGCTGAAATACGAGTGAGACTGCATGCCTGAGTACATGCATGAGTACATGCAGAAAATAGTCAATTTCAGCGTTTCTGCTCCAAACAGCAACTTGCTTCGACTAGCTACAAAGATTACACCAAAGGATCAAACAACCGTTTTTTTCATTTTTTTGACAGGTGGGATCCTTGTGCTTGGCCCAGCACGCCAAAAATCACACCTCGGCGGAGTACAAAAATTACAACTCCCAGATGTCCTCGATTGCTGGCCATGAGTGTGCTCGGAAAAAAACACTGGCGAAAAAGTGGGGTGGCTGTGACGGCCTTGTCACATCCATCCATGCACAGGCATGCATACACAGAATCGATTCTGCTCCATTCATTTCGCAACCGGAATCGGATCTGCACTCAACAAACGCAGTCGCGTGCATCAAACAAACGCACCCGAACCAAAACAAGGCGGAAGGACTTTGGAATGTTGTCGGAATGACACCAAACAAACGCAACCTCATCTTCTCTACAGAAAAATGGAACAGATTACGTAGAGACGTCCGCTCCAGCACAACGCTGGACGTTCAAAGCTGCAGTGGTACCCCTTACACTATTGGTCCCAGAGTGTGCATGTTGTATTCCTTGTTCAATACCGGCAACAGTAGCTCATGCCATGTTTGACAATGGATCAATACTATTGATCTCCAGCTGACTATCACACTTTTTCTCTTTTTTATTCCCACTTCACTACCTTCTTTTTAGGAAGAAATGCCCATTGGGATTTGCAAAATACAACAAAGTCAAAAAAAGAATTAGCCTGGTATACACCACACGGCTGGTTGACTTGGCTTTTCTGGCCAGTGAATGCTCTCTCTCTCTCTCTCTCTCTCTCTCTCTCTCTCTCTCTCTCTCTCTCTCTCTCTCTCTCTCTCTCTCTCTCTCTCTCTCTCTCTCTCTCTCTCTCTCTCTCTCTCTCTCTCTCGCGCGCGCGCGCACGCGCGCGCACACACACACACGCACAGATCAACGGACGCGCACACGCACACCACCCCCACCACCCCCCCCCCCCCCCACATACACACATCTATATGTTGCGAAATACGATTCAATTATTATTTACGCACATTGTCGTATATGGCTCTTGTCTTGTAGAATCCAGTGTCTGACGTCATGGTCTAGTCTATATGTGAGTATAGTAGGATGTGTGCTGTGTATTGTATGAGGTGCATGCAAGAGTGTGTATAGTCAGAGACTGACTTGCATTAGTAGTGCTAGCTTGGTCAGAGAGCGAGGGTGATCAGTGGTGCGTCCGTGGTCTGGTTGTCTTGGTCTGGGTCATGTGGTCTGTACGTATTCGTCCCTGATTGGTCTTCGCATCATATCAGTGTGTACCCCCTTGAAGTTGAAGTACTCGACATGACTCCCAACCAGGGTACAAGCAACCCGGTGTTCTTCTTCCAAAACGGGTCCAAATACCCCCCCCCCCCCCCCCCCCGCCCGCAACGGGTCACTGACCCCCGCTTGACCCGGCTCTGGAGCAGACACTACCGCGGACTATGGATGGAGTGCATGGAACATACAGTATACAGCACGCAAGGCTGACAGCAGAGAGCCAGACCAGAACTAACAATTACCATTACAAGATCACGCATATAGCGTACAGCAATCAAAAGCAAAGCGCATTCATACATGCCCTTCCTACCTGATGGTGGAGCTTGTCAACCAGATCCACATTCCTTGAATTCGCTGACGACTATCTTTGCTATTGACGTATTGTCGCTCTGTCTATCCTCTTACCTTTCTTCAACCCTCAAGTCTTCTGTAGAACTTCTTTCCAGTCGGTCTCTCTGCTCTTCTCTCTACGCTTCATCTCAACAACGTTTCTCTTCTCCATTTTTTCGTTCCTGTACTTCTCTAAACTTCTCTACTACCTGTATCTTTCATTAGTTTAATAGTTCTCTTCGTTTGAATGATTTTCTTCAACATGATCATGATGATCATTATGACTATTGACTATGTAGTCGACTGTGTTTTTGCACTTTGAGCTTGAGCTTGATTTTCTTTCATGTCTTTTTTGCCGAATGTACAGGGCGCTAGTAGTAGTAGTAGTACGCTGTCGACCTGCCTATCATCCTGGTCATGTCGTGCACTACACACATGCACTCAGTCTGTCTGTCTACGTCTACAATCTAGTCGGTGGCTCGGTGCATGTGCGCACGTCACGTGCGCTGTGTGTGAATAATGCATGCAGCGCAGCTACTGTTGTGGACATGGAAATCCGGTCGCACGTCTGGCGGCCCCATGGCCCAGGGCGCTGGCCATGCAGCCGTGGACAAGCTGCACCCACATGCGCTGCATGCAGCGCAAGCGCGCTCGTTGCATCGGATCAACATGACATGCGTGCAGTGCACATTGTGCACTGCACGCAGCGTTCTGCACGCGCGCTGAGGTCGCCGGCCCCGCGTCAATCGACTGGATTTCCATGTCCGCTACAGCACATGACATACATGTACTCACATACATACATGTGATTGTAGTCATCATGGTCATTGTACATTGTAGCTATCTAGCCATGCGCTTTCTTTGATAGTTGCTGTTTCTGTGAGACGCGTGAGGGCGAAATGCTATGCCTCCATTTTCGTACATGATCTTGCCTCTTGGTGCGCGAGGCGCCGAGCCCATCTCCTGTCTTTTTTTTGTTCAGAGGTTTTCAGAATGGCTAGTACCAAGAGTAAATGCCCCCTCCCCCCCCCCCCCCACACCGTGAAAAGTGCAACAAGTATTTGCTGCAGGTTGAACTGGCAAACAGCCACCGAGTCACCGACGCCCTATAAAACGGTATAGACCAGCGCCTCGCTAGCGTCTTCCCTCCCTCCTCTCCTCTCTCATTCTGCATCTCTCATGCACGACCATCTAGCATCTACCCATTGTCCCTTTTCCTCTTTATTATTAATTTTTTATTAATCTGTTTTTCTTCTTGAACTCTGTTACTCTTTCACGAATGCTTGATATTTCTGTGAGTGGGAGATCCCCTGGACAGGCCTAGAGCCTCTGGGTGATCCTTTTAAAACTTCAATAAATTGGTGTTTGTGCTTGGTGGGAAGTATACCTACACATACTACATTCCATTTATCAATGGGGCAAGGCATTTTACATTCATTATCCATTTATATCCAGAGACCTTTTGTCAGTCTTCTTCTTCGTCCCTTTGAGAGTAGTCTCCATTTCCGTCTTGTCAAAAATATAATATTAAACACACAAAAAATGCAACCACCATTCATTACCTCTTTCTCCTTCCCTCCTTCCTATTATCAACCACCACACCACACCGTTGCGCTCTCCGGCTGACCTCAATGCTGCCACTTACCCCTCTTGATCCTTCCGTCCTCATAAAATAAAAATAAAATAAACAGCCATGGGCTGGTGTGTGTGGGGGGCCGGGGTGTGGGGGGGGGGGTGTATGTAGTCCTACTGCCCCAAGTTGAACAACAAAAATGTATGACATGTACCACCAAGAGTACATAACCCCCCAGAGTGTGCAACGCCTGATCCAGCTCTGCATAGGGTCTTGGTCGAGCGGAATCGGATCTTTGCGTCATAATACCGTACACATCTGAGGGGAACCCGGGGAGTCGCGGGTACTCTTGGATCAAAAACAATGGTGCCCTGCCTCGAGACCGGCCTTGCGCTGGTGTGAAGTGTACGCATGACATCAGAAGATCCGATTCCGCTCGACCAAGACCCTACACAGAGCTGGATCGGCGTTGCACACTCTGGGGGGTGATGTACTCTTGGTACCACGACTTGTTTTTTGCTGCTACATGTAGATCTACATGTTGTGGAAGAAGAAGGACATACACTGGCATTGACACAGGGATATTCATGGCTTACAGCTTGCCTTGCCGGCATGCCGTCTACACACATACATGTAGTGATGTAGGTTTAGCTGATCGATCCTCTTCAATTTTCCCCTCCATTTAGCTCAAATTTCCTAGTGCGGACGAAGGAGTGGTTTTCCGTACAAATACGGAAAATGCTGAAGGTTATCGTTTCCAAGAATTCACTCGAATGGAGAGCCAAGGATAAATTTATAGAAAAGAAAAAAGACCAATGAACTACAAGTTACGCTATAATGTCCACTCGTGCTTGTCTGCGTTGCGCTCACCATCCCCTCCTGTTGTTTTTTTTCTGTAACTTTGAACCTTCCAAGTTGGAAGGCTGTTGGAGTGCACATCCAAGATGTGCGAGAGCTGTTAGCCAGTTAGTTGTAGAACGCCAGCACCGTCGGGCAGTGTCGTGCAATGTTATCGCATGAGCTGATTCTTTAGTAACTGGTGGTGTTAGTGGACATTATAGCGTAGCTTGTAGTTCCTTGGTCCTTTTTTCTTTTCTATAAAGTTATCGTTTCCGTCCCCAAAGCGAACTCACGACGGCGGCTGAACACCGGGCAACCTGATATTGTGATAACCCCCTAGCGGCAGATGCAGCGCCTAACGGTGGGTGTGAGGGGATACCAAAAAGTCTACAACCACTGCAGGCACAAGTGCTGATCCGCATGATGACTTGAACCAAGTACACTAGTAGTACGCAGTAGTACATGACGTCATTGTACTTCAATCATGCTCTTTAACCAACTCACTGCACATTGTACTTCAATCATGCTCTTTAACCAACTCACTGTACATTGTACTTCAATCATGCTCTTTGACTTTAATAGGCAACTCACTGTACAGTGCCTGTCTGATCAACATGATCAAAAGCAAAGCGCATACGTAATACGTATTGTACTGTCGCGGACATGGAAATACAGTCGATTGACCGGGGCCGGCGCCCTCAGCGCGTAAAGAACGTCGTCGTTGCATGCAGCGCACATGTTGATACGATGCGACCAGCTGCAGCGCGTAATAGTAATACCAGGGAGTCGTATAGACCCCCTGGTAATACTGCATGCCATGGCGGCATGGCCAGCAGACGTGCGACCGGATTTCCATGTCCACGACAGTACAATGTCATGTATATGATGTACTATAGTGTGGAGCAGACTGCGAGTCTGTGACAGACCCGTCGACGACCACTGATATCATTTACATGTACATGTACATGCATGACGGGTAGTTTTTAACAGTTGGGCAGAAGAGTCACCAGGTCACGTGGTCACGCTGACTGTTGACTACCACTACCAGTAGTACTACAAAGTACTACAAGTACAACTCAATACAAGTGCTGAGAGTCACCAGGTCACGTGGTAACGCTGACTGATAACTACTACTACAAGTAGTAGTAGTAACGTCATTACTGACATTAGTAGTTACAAGTACTACTACTAGCACTACTGAGTACTTGAGAACGGTTTTATTGTGCACAACACCATGAAAGAAGAGTAGTAGTCACAGTAGTAGTAGTATTGACATACATGTATCCGCGACAAGCCGCTTATGTACAACGGCATGGGAGAGGATAACAAAAAATGAAAATATATTGTTGGGGAAATCCACGCTATTATCGAATATTCAACAATGACGGGTGTGGGGTTATACCAAATTCCCATAATGTGGAAGTACGTTATTATTGTTGAAAGCACTAGGTGATCTGCACCCTACAATGTGACCTGTGCGATTATATCGTTAGATGATTGCCTGTTCCGAGCCACCAAACGAAGAGTACTACTAGTACTACTACTAGTGCTGAAGTCACTAGGTCACCATGGTAACGCTGACTGATAACACGTACACTGAGTGTACAGATACTGAGGTTCGGTAGTTACCTCGTCAAGCGGTGACAAAACACAAAGTCGCGTCACCTGCGATTGTCGTGTTTCCAAGGGTCACGGAATCGCAAGTTATATGTACATGTGCATGTAAATCTTCGACTGGGGCTCGTGCAAGATCTCCAGGTCAACAAAAATTTATAACTCCTATGATAATATTATAGGAGTTTCTCCTTCGCTGGCAAGCCATCCTGGAGTGTTTTCCTGCTGAATGTTCACCAAACACCTGGGAGAAAAGAGTTCTGAGTTTCGCTTGCCGCTGGACAATTAAACGAGCCCCTACATGGCTACTGCCCCCCCCCCCCCCCCCTGCCTAACCCCCAAGTAATTAGTTGCAAGACGAACAAAGAAGTACTTGTATGTTGCCGACGGGCCGAAATTAAAAAAGAAAACCAAAAAACCAAAATAAAACGTCGCCGTAGTGTAGCACCATGCAGCATGTTGGATGGTGCACCGATGTACAGCTGTGGCCCTATTAAGTAGCGATCATTATGATCACATTCAAATACATTCTAGATCTACCGTCACTTTCTACGTGTACATGTACGTATGAAAAAAATTGATATCATCGATTGATTCAATTCAGACTACAATGTATGTACATGTGTGTACTGGCAAAGGCACGTCTAAACGTGAATTTCCATGATAGAGTGGCGTGAACAGAGTAGCAGCAGTACGAGTAGTCGTGTATGATAAATCGTGGATGGCCAGCACATGTATACGGGCTGTGGTTACTATCATGATTGTCATGTCAGCGAAGATTGACAGCTTCATGTAGGAACACGCACATGGCGTACGTACGCCGCTTTCCTAGGCTCAAGCAGTCAACAATGGTCAAGGCTAGCTGCTCTGCTGGGCTTGTTCAGATTTCTGGATTTCATGCTGTCTTCTTCTGCGTAAACCTAGAATGTAGCTTGTCAAACATGGATACAAGTCATGACATCACCAAGCTAGTGAGTACAGCCGTGTACATACATGTAGCTGTGCAAGACACCACTATGATGTGTAGGTGTCATGTCATGACATCTACTGCAGTCTCGCCTCTGCACTGTACTGTAGTACTAGTACTAGTACTATAGTAGACAGGATCTGGACTGCTCTTTCTCTACGGATGCAATGTGAACCACGTTCCCCTTTGTGCACCGATCATCTCATGTATGTAGTTCGGGAGCTG